TATATATATATATATATATATATATATATATATATATATATATATATATATATATATATATATATATATGCTTGGGAGCTAAGGGGAAATGCTGCCAAATTTTTCTTAAACATACAATCATGTAATATACGTTCACATATGAGATAAGGTATTCAAAAAGTGGGTTTAGAAGCCTACCTTTGTGAATACTCTATCCATTTCTTGTTATTTGTTCATGTATTCCCCTGTTGGGGATACTTTTTGAATCATCGACTTTATGAATACTCTACTTGATTTTTGTTTGCCGTAGAGTAAACCTTAAACACTAAACTATGTTTCAGTTGCATCATGTCTATTGTTAAAAGTTGGACTACTAATCCACATCGTCAGTCTCCTGAGTTCCATCTAGGACGTGACTCTTTTGTCAATAAATCCATGTTACACCTAGATTTTAAAGGAAACCAGATGTCCGTGTGAGAAATTTGATAACCGTTACTTCATGGATCCGAAAGCAATGAGATGTCATGTTCGTATATAAGGTGTTAATACATGTGTGCAAGAACGACTTTTTTCTCTTTTGGAAGGAACACAAGTCATTGCAAATTTGTCCTGTTTGTAAAGAGAGTCGGTGGATTGATAAAAACACCAAGGGTAAGAAGGTGGCTCATAGGGTGTTACGGGAATTTCAAGTGACCCCTAAACTACATCGTTTGTATTATTCAAGGTACACTTCCAAAAATAGGATATTACATAGTACCAAGAGATCAGAAGATAATGTGATGCGTCATCCCGTTGATGGAGAGTCTTGACAAAAATTTGATGTAGATTACCTTGACTTCTCGAGTGAACCTTGCAACATACGCCTAGGGATGGCAACTGATGGATTTAATCGATAATGTTTCCGAGGAAGAAATTGATTATGATGATGAAGATTCTGATTATGATAATGATGAAGAAGACATTGACATATATGATGGAGATTCTGATTAAAATAATCAAATGTTTTTTATTGTAATAGAAACTTTATTTGAATTGTACCTTTTATTCATATTGTTTGTCTAACTTTTATTCATGTTGTTTGTCTAATTTTTATTTATATTATGTTTCTATATTTTACATCTTGTAATTTTACAAGCTACATATGAGGTTTAGTTGGCTGATAATCTTTACCTTGATGGACGATGTTATGGGCCTTGGACACAGAGCTGATGGAGTCGGGGATCCACCACCTCCGATAGGATTCGGTCGCGGTCAGCATGAATTGGATGGTAAGTCTTATTATGATATATTTATTAGCTATTTTTATTAATTTATTATAAATTATCGTGAATAATATTTTTAAATGTATTTTTTCAGCTGAGCTTCAAAAGAAAAGAAGGGGTTATCTAAAAACATCGAGCTAGGAAAGTTAATACGGGTAAACACGGGAAAGCCTGTGGATTTGGATTTTGACAGGGAGATCACATATTCCCCTTTCGAGAAGCATGCTAATTGGTTTTCACGTGAGATTAAGAGGTATATGTGGATGAACATACCTTTCAGCCTATCTGGTTGGGACAATGTGTCCCCCGCGTTAATGAATGCAACAGTCGTGCATCTAAAGGTAACTTTGTTAATATTTTAAGTTTAGGTGTGATTGGTATTTAATTAACTAACTTTATTGTATTTGTAGAATAAGTTTGATTTGGATGAGGTTAACTTGGATCCCGAGCGTGCTCAGTTGTTGAGGAGTATTGATTCGAGTCTTGCAAAATTTTATAAAGGCCGGAAAGGTAAAGCTCGTACTTATTTTACAGATATCGGGGGGGGGGGGGGGGCTACAGATATCCCAATGACATTAAACAACCCCCCTCCCGCCGATTGTAGGTCACGTGAAAATTGGGCGAAGGCAGTCGAACATTTTCAAACGCCCGAATTTTTAAAGCATTCAGCGTCAAACAAAGAAGTACGTGCAAAACAAAAAGTTGTAAACAGAGGGGGGTCGACCTCTTATAGCAATGCATGTTTCAAAGAAGTAGGTTATGATATATTTAACTGTTCATTTAAACTATAATTAATCTAATTTTTAATGTTAAATAGGATATCACTCGAGTCAAAGCATTTCGTAAGGCTAATACCAATCGCCAACGAGTATTTAGTAGTTCTGCAGTCGAGCAACAATATTTAAGTGGTTAATTTGTATTTTCATATAAATGTTTATATCGTCAAGGGGTATTTAGTAATAAAATTTTGATGGTGTTTATCATTTTTGAAAATACAGTTGGCTTTACTCCGATACATCAATCAACAAACCCAATCTTCTTCTGAAGCAAGCGGTCTAACACCAGGTGAAATAAAAAATTGTTTTGAAAAAATATTGGGTGTTCGATGCAGACAAATCAGAGGCATTGGGCGTAAACCTCCTACAGTTGTGTCTATGTACGATCAGGAACAATCGATGACGCAACAACCACCACAATCACATGTAATTGTTAGTTTAAGTTGAAAAGTATAACGCTATAATGATTTGTTGGTAATTGTTTGTTTAGTATATAGTACAATGCTATAATGGAAAGTAGAATGTTATAATGATATGTTGGTTATGGTTTGATATGTTGATATTTTGTATTTTAATAATTTTTGGAAAGTACAATGGTATAATGGAAAAATGAAAAAAAGTATAATGTTATAATGAATATGGAATATTGTGTATCATGTAGTTTGGTTTTAGTTTGATATATTGGTATTTTGTATTTTGGTAATTTTTGGAAAATACAATGCTATAATAGAAAAATGAAAAAAAAGTATAATGTTACAATGAATGTGGAATATAGTGTATCATGTAGTTTGGTTATAGTTTGATATGTTGGTATTTTGTAGTTTAGTATTTTTTTTGGAAAGTACAATGCTATAATGGAAAAATGAAAAAAAATACAATGATATAATGTATATGCAATAACGTGTATCATGTAGTTTGGTTATAGTTTGATATGTTGGTATTTTGTAGTTTGGTAATTTTTTGGAAAGTATAATGCTATAATGTATATATTGTGCATGATGTATGTTTATATGTATTTGGAAGGTAGAATGATATAATGATATGTTGGTAATATGTTTCGCTTTCTTTGTAGTTGGAAATGTTGCAAACAATACTAAAGGACCCGGCCGATTCTACGGTCCTGAAGGACTGGTTTCGCTCATTGCCGCCACAAAATGATAACGAAGTAAACGATGAGAGTGATGAAGACGAATAGCTACTTTGTTAGGATTTTATGAAATATTTTGTTTGAGTTAATATTTTTGATATATTGCACTTTGTTTAGATGAATATTTGGATCGTTTGTGTATAGACTAATATTTCAGCAAAATTAATTTTGTAGCATTTTTTATGTATGTTATAGCAGTTTTTATAATTTTATTGTTACATTTAAAAAAATAATAACGTAAAATATTTTTAGCGGCGATGCCTTTAACGGAGACACCTACGTATTATTGGCGACAGCTCATTAGCGGCGACATGTCATATTAGCGGCAACGAGGCATTAGAGGCGACAGGTAGTATTTGCGGCGACATATGGAGCAATTGCGACGAAGCAACATCGACGACCAATGTATTCTTAAGTCACATTCCTTGTAGTGAAAATTCAATTTGAATATTTACAGTATAATATTCTATTAAAATATTTCATATATATTTTGAAAAAAACAGTAATTTTTTTTATAAAGTAAATGACGAAAATAAAATTTTCAGAAATATTTCGAAAATTTTCATTTATTTTGCACTTTAAAAATATTTTTTGTCTCACATTAGCCTAATCCTATATATATATATATATATATATATATATATATATATATCCCTATTCTAATAAATGAATAACTTTATTCTCTTATTGTCAAGTGTTATACTATTAGAACTCATCATTAATATTGTATGTTACATACCACTTCTCAACATATTAATTATCAATTTCAAATTTTAAATTTTAAATTTTTCATTCTAATTATATTAAAATATTAATTGATTAATTGATTCTCCATTTTAAATTTTTCATTGTAATTATATTAAATTAATAATATGAGATTAAAAAATAAAATAAAATTAATACAAATTATAAGGTGAGATAACTTCACGTATTTATTTAAATCAACAATTATAATTTTATATAACTAAAAAAATATCTTTAAGTAATAATTTATTTAAAATAATTTATTATTAAATTTGATTTTTTAATATGAAAGTTTAATTAGTTTTATAACCGTGGTTCTCACGTGTTATATATATATATATATATATATATATATATATATTATAATATATTATATATATATATATATATATATATATATATATATATATATATATTTCCAAATCGGTTTTACCCATTCCAGTTTGTATCTAATTCCTTCGGTTTCAAACCGAACCGGTCCCAAAACGATTTGGCCAACACTTTTAACTAGAATACATGCCGAAAAAGTTCGATATACTTAACCAGTTGTCTCATTAAAAAAAAAGCCAATAGTACCATTGAATGTAAATAATTTTTCTTATCTTTTACCATTTTTTCATTAAATATTTTCTAGGTTTTTTTTTTGGTGGTTAAAATACTTGACTATCACAAGCAATACTTTGTTTTATTTGCTATTTTCACTTGACATAATGCCATTGAATTATTATCATTTCTTATTTTGGAGATTGAATGTAACTATTACAATTTTTATACACATTATGTGTATTTTGTAAATTTCTATTTTATCAAGGATTTGTTCAAGACAGTCAAATTATTTTATTAAAAATCTCTTATTATGCGTGACAACGACTAAGTCCATGATATCTTGATTTGTTTTCACATAAAGTTCAGTTAGTTTTTAAAATCAAACTAAGCCTCCTTTTATTACAAGTAACAACCATACATTCAACTCTTCGCCAAGTTGTGTTACTTATACTGTTATACTACAAGAGTTTTGATTTGTGTGGGTCAATGACTTCTTCTTTGCATATCTCTATAAAATCAATCATTCCTCTCAGGAAACATAAAAATATGGTTCCTCATCTACAACTAATTGTTCTCCTTCTAGCTTTCATCTCCCACGAACCTGAAGCCATAGCACGATTGGTATACCCTTTCACTTCCCAAGTTGCACCAGTAACAAAACATGCTGATGCAGCTACACCACTCTATAGCATCCAGATGAAGATCGCTGTATGGGTATACATACCAGACATATATAAAAACTTCATTATTGACATAGACGCTCCATTCACATGGCATGACTGCATTGTGGACTGGAATAGTTGGATTGATGAAAGCAGCAATTGCCTCGGTTGCGCTCACCCAGTTTCTTGTGAAGAGTATCAATGCACGGATGTTCGCACAGTAACCAACACTTCGACATTACCTGGTTCGGGAGAATGCACATGCCCTGTCAATGTTGTTGAACCCTGTTAACCGAACATGTGGTCAAGCTCTGCTCAACTATGACAGGTTCACGTTTAGGGGAAGTGACGGTAGAAACACTTTTCGGTATTTCTATGTTACAGAGTCTAACGCGGCATGTGCTCCATCTTCTATGTTTGAGTCATTCCCTGCGCATGTTAGTGGTGTCATGGCGTTTTCCTCATCTCCTTATGCATTTCCTGCTTATTTATTCAAGCCTTTTAAAAAAGCTTTTGCTCTATGTTTGCCTAGCTCCTCGTCTGCTCACGGGGTTATGTTCTTTGGGAGTGGACCGTATTATCTTCTTCCCAACTCAGATGTAGATCTACGAAGTTTACTGTCTTATACTCCGTTACTGAATCATACTGATTCTTTTGGTTATTTTATTGGTGTCAAATCGATAATCATTAAGGGAATGTCGATTGATGTTTCAAAAAGCACCACCAAGCTTAGTACGGTTGAGTCTTACACCATTCTTAGAGCAGACATTTATAAGAAAGTGGTTCGTATGTTTTCAATCGCTACATTGGGAATCCTCCCTGCAAGGTCAGTGGCACCCTTTGCTTTTTGTTTAAAGAATCGAGTTGGACATTCCCTTACCAGTTTGCAGATTCCGGATATCATTTTGAAACTCCAAGGCGGGAAGAAATGGATAATATCCTCAAGTAATTCCATGCAACAAGTAAGGAAAGATGTGGCTTGTCTTGCAATTATTAATGGTGGTGCGACAAGTGAACATGGGATGGTGATCGGGACGTTTCAAATGGAAAATAATTGTCTACTATTTGATCTAGTCAACTCAAGTTTAGGGTTCAGTTCTTCCTTATTAAGCAATAAGACTTCTTGTACAAACTTCAACTTTACCACACTTAGCCTTTGATATTACTTCAAAAGCTTTGCGCTGGATGGACAACTTCCTCTTGCTAGTAGAATTTAAGGTAGCAAAAGCTTTAAGCAACTCCACAATATAGGCTTTATCATTAATTTTCGACAAAATTTTGTATTGACCAAACTTTTGTTGACCGGCTTATTGTATGTTCATAATGGAAATTTCTTCTTGCGAATGTAGACCACCACTTCATCTCTTACCACAAATACCTTGTAAGAGCCTAAATTTCCAATAAAAATTTTTCATTTTAAATAATCAAATCATTTCCATAAGATATAAAATTTCCGTTCACATTTGTTTTCAAAATCCATAACATCAATTGAATTATTCATAATATCAGAGTGTCCCAAATAAAACGTCAGAGAGTGCATGTCGCACCATCACGCCGGGCCCTTGCCCTTAGATCCTGAAGTACCTGAAACAACCAACAAACAGTAAGCTAATGCTTAGTGAGTTCCCGAGGGCATACCCCACATAATGAGTAACAACAATCATTCAAGTCTAATCCTAGCCCACTACTAAGCACTAAAGAGTAAATCCTAATCTTGGTGACAAACGACGATTTCCTATTCTACATTATCAGGTTCATCTTCCCATGCTCCACATCCCTACTTCTTCTTAGCCCCTGCATATCAGAACAAATGTGAAAACCACATCGTGTATGAAGGACCCAAGAACTAGCATGTGATAAGTTATTAGATTAAATAGTATAAATACATGCGTAGGAGGGCTTTATCTTCCCATTCTTGATGTCCTACAAGTATTTCAGGCATCTTCGTTTCCAATGCCCCTTTCTCGTGACAGTAGAAGCACGTTGCTTCTTTAGGATCAGATGAGGGAGTGGCAGAACCGGATTATCCTTTTGATCCATTTGAAGAAGATCCATCATGAGACTTTGATGGGTTTTGAGCATTCTAACACTCCTATGGTGTACATGCAACCCTAGAAATCTTGGATTTATGTTTTCTCTATATACATGCAAATTTGATTTTTCCAAGGTTCTCATCCTAACTAGCATGATATGGGGTACTTGTAATATAAAAAACTAGTAGAATGACATACCTTTCTTGTAGCTTTGATTCCTTAAGAACTTGTGAGCCTAGCACCCCAAATCTGATGCCTAAAATGTTTCACACAACACCACAACTCTTGGAATAACTTGAGAGAAGAACACATTCACTCAAAATTGGCTAGCCCTCCTTGTTCTTGTCTTAGTGGCCGATTTTGCTTACCATGAGGTTCTTTATATAGTGTGTCACATGTAGGGTTACACCATGCAAACCCTAATGTGCATGGCTTTTCATATCCTCCATGATACATGGGTTTTAACCTCCATGGAGTATCTATGGAGCACCCTATGGGTTTTAGCCCAATCCAATGAACCATGGATCATAAGCCCACTATATACGAACGAATGATTTACAAATCAATCCCCATATATTTAATTCGTCTCTTTTGAACACAAAACTAATTCCAAATTAATTCTTGATCAATACTAATTAAATAATATGATTTCATATTAATATATTAGAACGTATAATATATTAACAAACCATAAGTGTTCTTTTCTCATTTTGTCTATCCAGTTGTTATGATGTCATGCAACCCAAATGGACCATGCCAAATCGGGTCAAATACATACCAGATATAGTTATGGACTTAGAAACCTTATCCAACAGTCTCCCACTTGGATAAGTCTAATAGCTATAACTGCAAGTATGGCTTCAGGATTAGACCGGCAATCGTAGCTCTTTCAAAGTCTCGCGGAACTATGATGACCTGCCATTTAAGATAAGTGATCATATAAACATCTGCTCTCAATATATCAGCCGAACAAATACATTGAACAATGTCGTACTTATTGTCCAGCAGTTTGTTTCCCGATTTCCGATTTGTTTGACATAGAACTTAATCGAACACATCAATTCAGTTCTTACCGGGCTCGGTACATAGGTCAAACCAAAATGATCGAGGGGCCTAGATATCGATTCTAATCCTCCATGGACTAGAAGGAACAACTAAACTTCAACTCATATGATTGTACTAACTACTTGTTGAATTATACACAAAAGAACGTTTTATAACATCGAGTTACCGATGAGTTTTCATACAACCAATGTACAACCAACTCATGGTCAACAACTCATATCTTTAGGTTTGAAGACTTATATGATATTACCGTCTCACAATCACTCGAGATAAATTCCATGAAGTGATATAAGTGAGCGTGGGTTGTATCTAATACTCGAATCCCATTCCAGGAGTACTCATGAACACTACAGTCCCTATGTCCCAAACAAACGACAGACCCATTCATGACAGTCTTGCCTCAATACCTACTTCCAAACTATGATTGATTGTGGATGGTTTGAATAATATGATATACCACAACATAATTATTCTGGAAGTCAAAACATGCAAAATTGAAACAATAGTAAATGATTGACACAAGATAGTAACACTTTACTCATAAATAAATAACAACTTTAATTTAATCATCAAATGTCAATTACACTTTACAAATTTCATAAACAACTATCTAATCAATAAAACTAATATCATCCTTTAGCCCGATGCGCCTCGCATGCTGCAAATGCTTAACCCTACACTGTCCCTTCATGAGGGGGTCTGTTGGGTTCTCATCTGATGATACCCTCTTTGCCACGATGATTCCTTCTTCTATTCGATGTCTAATGAAGTGGTATTTTTTGTCGATGTGTCTGGATCTGCCATGATCCCTTGGTTCCTTGGCTAAGGCAACTGCACTTTCACTATCACAGAAAATCTCCATAGGCTCCTTTATAGCTGGTACAACTCCAAGGTCTCCAATGAAGTTCTTCAGCCATATCGCCTCCTTCGCCACCTCGCTTGTTGCTATATACTCTGGTTCGCACGTTGAATCAGCTAATGTCTCCTACTTGGAACTTTTCCAAGTAATTGGTCCTCCATTTAGGGTAAAGACCCAGCCTAACTGAGAGCGGAAATTATCCCTATCAGTCTGAAAGCTAGCATCGATATACCCTACTACTCTCAAGTCATCACTTCCACCGATGGTAAGAACCCAGTCCTTAGTCCTCCGCAGGTACTTGAGAATGTTCTTTACCGCAGTCCAGTGAGCCTTGCCAGGATTCCCCTGATATCTGCTAACCATGCTCAAAGCAAAAGCCACATCAGGATGAGTACAAGTCATAGCATACATGATCGAGCCTACAGCGGAAGCATACGGTACTCGACTCATCTCATCTAACTCAGCCTCTGTACTCGGGCTCTGAAACTTACTCAGTTTGGCGTTACTCTGGATCGGTAAATCCCCTTTCTTGGAATCCTGCATGCTGAACCTATTCAGCACCTTATCCAAGTAGGTACTTTGACTAAATCCAATTAGTCTCTTACTCCTGTTTTGTCAATATCCTTATCCCTAGGATATAGGCAGCTTCTCCAAGGTCCTTCATATCGAAATACTTCCCAAGCCAGGACTTAACCTCCTGTAGGGTTGGGATGTCATTTTCTATGAGTAGTATGCCATCCACATACAATAGCAAAAAGCTAACTACACTCCCACTAGCCTTAACATACACAGGACTCATCTTCGCTCCTCGAAAAGCCAAACTCTTTGACTTTCTCATCGAAACAAAGATTCCATCTGCGAGATGCTTGTTCTAGCCATAAATGGATTTCTCAAGCTTACACACTCTATTAGGGTACTTTGCATCGACAAAACCCTCTGGCTGACTCATGTAAACATCCCCAGCCAACTTTCCATTAAGGAAAGCGATTTTGACATCCATTTGCCATATTTCATAATCATGAAATGCATCAATGGCTAGCATAACCCAGATAGACTTAATCTTCGCTACTAGTGAGAAGGTCTCATCATAGTCAACTCTCGGAGTTTGACTAAATCCCTTTGCAACCAATCGCGCCTTATAAGTGTGTACCTTCCCATCCATGTCGGTCTTCTTCTTGAAGATCCATTTGCACCCGACTATCTTGAGACCTGGTACATTGTCAACCAAGTTCCAAACTTGATTGTCATACATGGACTGAATATCGGTCTCCATAGCCTCTTTCCATTTGGCGGACTCAGGGCCCGCCATGGCTTCCTTAAAGTTATTAGGCTCAT